TGATTGGGTCTTTGAACTGTGTGCGTGCGAAACCTCCCCCGAGAGCCGTTCTATAAATAAATCTACTCGGGAAAGGGTTGACTCCAAGGCTTAGTATAGGAGATAAAGGCTCCTGTTGATGAGCTCCTGTTTATCATTAATCCAATTGTCCGGAGTCAGGAAGGGTGGTCTTCTTAGAGAAGTCCCCCCCTTTCCACCCATCAGTGTAGCCCGGGTTCCAATCCACGACCTGGCGCTATGCGAGTGATAAGTTTGTCGCTGGTTCTTTCCCTGGCTCTAAAGTTAATCCCCCATTTTACTTTTTTTCTTTCTCCTTCCATATAAAAGAAGCAGTAAATTACATTCCTGACGCACGTACACTTTGCAACTATTCCTTTTTCGGGGAGTCTCTACACCGAATGCAAATATGGCGTCCAATTTGAATTTCCATTGTTCTGGACTGACAAGCCTCGTCTTCAAGTGGAAATCAAAAGGATTATTACATGTGTCAGAGGCTAGTCAGTCCAGAACAATGGCAACTCAAATTGGACGCCATATTTGCATTCTGTGTATGCTCTGGACTAAAATGAAGTAGGTGGCATTAAAGAACCCATTTGCAAGGTTTTTTGCAAAACATCGTCGGCACTGAAGATCTTAATTGTAAAAATACCATCCTTTGTGTAGGATGTTTGTGGTCTCCCATGTCTCCCTTGACTTCCCTTGTCATCACTACCAATGGTAAATTGCAATTTCATGATAACGAGACTGACTTAATTAAAAGTCCGTATTTCCTCGAATAAGCGCCTTCCACCGAATAACCGCCTACCCCATACGCCATTATATCAAACAAGCGCCCCCTCCACTAACTGCCCTCCCCCTTCCTTTCTTCTTCTCACTCTTTTAAATAATAGGGATACGAGGAAAACCCGTTTTTATTACCACTTCAAATACAGTGGAACCTCGATTTAACGAAGTGCCAAGGGACTGGGGAAACTGGCTCGTTATAGCGAGGGTTCGTTATATCGAAAACCACGATTTAACGAATTTGCAGAAAAACAACCAATATGTTCGTTATATCGAGTTCTGGTTAATAAATATGCGTTATTATCCAGGCGTGAGGTCAAGATGGCTGGATATGGCCGAGTTCTTTTTTCGCGTTATTATGGACCGAGGCGAAGGATTTTTTATATTGCAAAAAGATTTCGCTCTGTTAAGAATTAAGAATTACTTATTTACTTCGAGAGCCGGGAAAGAAAGCCAACTGTATTTGTAGCACAACAAACTCACGAGAGTCGTTTTTGTTTTCTTTGTTTTGACTATCTTCTGTCGTTTTTTGTGTTTGCGTGTGCGTGTGTGCATGTTATATCGGGGTATCTATATGTTTGGGCCTCTGAATTGTGTTTGTTATAACGAGGATTTCGTTATATCGAGGATCCGTGGCTTACATTTTAGTGTAACTTTAGCCGGGCTGAAAAGTATCGTTCGTTATATCGAGGACTTCCTTAAACAGAGGTTCGTTAAATCGAGGTTCCATTGTCTAATTTTTTAAACTTCAACTGCAGCGGATTCAGGAAAGGTTAAAAGTTTCTTGGTAAACGACCTCTTCGATTAAGCGCTTAAGCGGAAATGCCCGGATGCTTATTCGGGGAAATACGGTATTTGTCTCAAATCCTTTTACATGATGGAGGTGTAAACAGAGAACAAACAGGAACACTTGCCAACATAATCTTTGTGTTTTGTTCGGGCTTGCTTGTGACCACAGTTAGAGTCCCGGCATATTGTCTAACATCTGATAGGCTGGTATTTGGTGCCCCTTTAACGCTCGATTCCACATACTTCACGAGTTTTTCTCTTAACTGCCGACCGAACAGACGTGTGATTAATAAACATCCATATAGTCTACCTAGCAGCCACACGTAAAGATTCAGGCTATCGAAAAGTCACGCGCGTACGATGGAGTAATCACGCGCGCCCGACGCACAAGACGAGTTTTTCGTCGCGCCACCAACAGAACAAACGCGTGGGTACACGAGAGGGTACAAACAGGTGAGTATTCTCGCGCACACGACGTGCATCACGCGTGTCTTCTCCCTTGTGCGTGAGATAATTCCATTCTCGCCATGCGGCTGCTAGGCAAACCAACAAGTCACAGGTAAATACTGTATTACACTATCGACAGTTTAACTGTTCTGAAACTACGCCGTTTAAACTTCAACATCATTCAACATGCTTTTCATTGATATCAGGAAAAATATTGCAACAAGACAACGCGACTAATACACTTGCAATAAGGTATAGTCATTCCTCTCCCAGTCCAATGACATCGGAAGGACTGCATGGCGAGACTAACAATTGTACCACATTTCAAATGGTTTTCACTGTGTTGCACGAAATTTTTAAGAAAATGCATATACTAAGATAATCATAAATTCCTTGGAATACTTCATTATTTAGTGTTATGTAAGACCTTCAATTAAATGTGAAGCTGTATTTACATCAAAGTCAACATTTTTAGTTCACAAGTTTATTTTTGCTTTGTACAGAGAGGATTACCTCCACTTTTTTTTCCTCCTCGCTTTCATCACTTTGAGCCGACACACTCTTTTCGTTTAAAACTTCAGCAGCGGCGAGAGCAATAGACGCGGTGCGCCTCGTGTCTCCTTCGGTAGAATTCAGTAGTTTCTCAGTCTCTCTTGTCAACTCTTCGTAGTCTAAGTTTAGTGTTTCCACCTGCAACATCGATTAACAACAATAATCACAAACCACTGGTCTAGCTTAAAGACGCATGCTTCATTGCATTGTGCAGCAAGGCAGGTGTCGGTCGAGTATCAATGTTCCTTCGCCAAAGAGAAAAATTCTTCAGTTTCCATAATAATGGCCTTTCTCTGGACACTTGCTAAATGGAGACAAGCGAAAAACGGGCGAGTCAATAACGGAAATTTACGAGATAAATAGTAAAAAAAATTACTGCCCTTGAGGACCGAGAGTTTGACTCAACCTAGAACGTTGGAAAGAGTCCTCACAGGAAGCTCGGATCACTTTTTTTTAAATGACGCTCATGACAAAGAATTTAACGAAGCTACTACACTGTTGTTGAAGAAGACTTTTTCCCTTTGTCACATCACCCACCACCTTAAAGAAGACCAAAAATATCATTTCAACAAAGGAAAACGAGCTCATAAGATAATAATGTATCAAGAAGACACAGGGATGGAAAGGAATGGGGAGGCTTTTCGCAGATTGCAACTAATGAAATGAAGAAATCTAGACTAAAATGTTTTCAAGATGCACAGATCAGGTTGTAGCTCTACAGATTACGTCACCGACCTTTAAGTACAAGGGCAACATAGTCAGAGCTAGCTTTAAAATCATGGACCATTCGTATTTTATCACCTGGGGGGGGGGGCGATGATTTTTGGGGAGAGTGGCCTCTTGGTTTTTAGAGGAAACGGAGGGGAATCAGTCAGGACTAGTCGCCAATGGCGGGGCAATCGTAAGAGTATTAAGTGAACAGGTAAATCATCCGACCCCCCCTTCCCTTTTCTAAGCGAAGGTCGTTTTAAATAACGACCTTTTCCTCGAGCAACTCAGATGGTTTGCGTGAAATATAAACGCATTCACTTACCTTAACAGGTGGTGTGAACGTTACGATAGTGATGGCTCCTACTGAGTCTCAAACTTTGGCGTATATTGTGATGTTTTCCCCACTGGGGAGGACAACATTATTCTGCCAAGGGTCTAGTCCGCTACCTAAACTTTGGTTCAAGTCTTTCGGACTCTTGGAGTACAGAAATTCGTAACGTAGTGGTCTATCGCTGTCATTGAATCCGTTACAGGTCAAGTTGAAGAGCGTTTTCAGAGCCTGCCCCTCCGTCGGTGTGATCGTACAATTCCCTTTTGAAGGAGCTATGTTCGCCCTGACTCGCAACTGTTTTGTTTTCTGTTTTTCATGGTCGCCAACTTGTCCAACTAATATAATCTTATAACGTATACCACCTACAAAATAAAATGTGGAAATTTCCTACTCTAAACTTTCTTAAGAAGAAGCCAAACAGGGCCACAAAAGCACACAAAACGTTTTACGATGGGTCACGTTATGTTACTTTCCTTTACGTTGGGTCACGTTATGTCACGTCAAGTTATGCTTCAATAGGTTACGTGATATTACTTTAAGTAGCGCAGCGCGCAAATGACGTTAAGAGTTTTCGGACCTCCCCTCGTGACTCAGACAAGCTAGTTCAATTCTCTAACTGCAGTAAGGAAAATGCATATGAATGGAGGACAGTGGAGAGTATTGTGTTACATAGCGTCACATAGTGCTACCACTGTGAGGTACCTCCTATTACTCAATCCTGTCTTAAATCTACTCTTCCGAGTAAAAGAAAATAACTGATCACGATTATTGTATGGTAAATAAACTATCTTGATTTTTGAATGAAATTCAGTTGAATTGGAGGAATGATCACTTGACCCATGATTACTCTACAGGCAGTTTGCTTCGATCTTTAACGGTTTTAACAAGCGATGATGATGATGATGTTCCCAGTTAGACATTTGTCTGAGTCTGTGCGCGAGTCTCTATTGACAAATCAATTTTTAGTGATAGCGAGAATCACTTTTAACCCTCAACCCTTTGACTCCCAAGATCTGATTGTTTTAAAATTCTCCCCTCTAGCCGCTTCACATTTCCTTGTAAATTAGTTTCGAGAATTTGGTGTTGGATCAAGGTAAAAACTTCCACCTGATAAGTTTGGGTATTCTCATTACCTGCTTGAAAGATAATGTATGGATATCAGTGGGAGAAGTAACATGTTAATCACTTCTGGGAGTTTAAAGAGCTAAGATAAGTCATCGTAAATTTACCTCACGCTACGTTACGCGACATTATATCACCAAAATTTACATCTTATAATATTACAATAACTTGAGTGACTTTTACTATATTACGCTACTACGACTAGTAACGCTGTCTTTCGCACGTTACCTTGAAGTTTGTCAGGTTTTATTACTAAATATTTCCAATCCAAAGGAGTGCTGTTAAAATCCTTTAAGTCCATCGGTACTGCGCAATCTTTCCCGTCTTTTGAACAGTTTTTTACTTTCCAGTTGAAGTTGATCGGTTTGCCTCCTCGCGCTTTTCCATATCCTTTGAATGTTAATTTGCTGGAGGGATTAGCAACACTTTCGCTTCCTTCTTCTCTACATTGCACGCATCTGAAATAGTTGTACGAACAACAAACTTGTGCTCTATAAACTTATGCCTCATTCGGATTCATGTCATTGTCTGAGAAACTGCTCACCTACCCCTCCCCTAAGCTAACATTAACCCTAAATTGTAATCGGTTGACTGTTGTTGGGTTAGAGGAGGGGCGGACGCACAAATGCGCAGATACTGATATTTACCCTCCCACTCCAGATAAACAACATCGAAATGAGTACCAAAGTGACTCTAAACTTTAACTTTTCGTTTTGATTATATTTTGTTGTCGCCTGTAAAATCTAAAAACAAACTTATCATAACGGCCAAACTTATAGAAGCTAAATATCCCGAAGAGCCAATGAAATCTCAAGAAAAACTACGCGCCTGCCGAAGATGGGTTGGTTTTAGTTTTGTATCTAATCGATTGAGAAAGATGTGCAATGTTCATAGCGTACCAGTTACAGAATAAGGTGAAGCAACTTAAAACGACGTAGTTATGGGATTCGTAAGGAGTCCAATTAAAATTGCTCCGAAGCACTCCCCCCTCCAAACCGGCGAAAGCAGAAAAGGTGCCTCTCTACACGCTTTTTAGTATCAAAATACGAGCGTAGGTGTATAGCCCTGTCTAAATCTCAGCGTATCAAAGCATCAAGGCGAAGACTTTTTCAGCTCAACTCCGAATAGTTATTCGAAGAAGAAAAAGAGAGCTAGTTTAAATTTGTTTGAACAATGATGTGCAGGATTACTGGGAAAATTTCAACCCTTGATGAACTAAGGGTTTAGATAAGGGTGCTAGGGGGTCCTCAAGGAGATGTGACCATCTCCCCCCTCTTCCTCTGTGTAAAAACAGCAATGCTATAAAAAAGAATTAACAGCCTGGTATGACCTGACTAAATATCAGTGAGAGGCTTGCAGGAACTCCCCCCCTTCCTGTAAAATCTTCCTTACACCCTTTGGGAACGCATATCGCCTCACGTTTCTTATAAAATGAAGTTCATTTTACCTGCAGATGAAGAGTCGTTGCCAGTGGGCGGCAATTTCAGCAAATGCAAAAAAAAAAAGCCTGAAAGAAAAATCAGGGGGGGGTTCCTACCAGGTTGTTCATATCTTTCATAGCGTCACTGTTTTTACAAAGAGGAGGGGGGGGGGAAGGTGGTCACATCCTCTCCATTATTGCTTAGCTTCCACATCGGTTCATTGTTTATTTTGGAAAAGGTATAAACCTTTAAGATAAATAAACCTTTAAGATAAAATCCATGCCAAGCAGGTGTCGTATGAGTCATTGGTTGCGCTCCAGTTAAAATACTCACCTGAAGTAGAGTTCATAAGGATCAACATAAACTGCCTTGTTTAATTGCTTTTCACTCACAAGATTCTTGGCTTTGAAACTGATGGTATATTTTCCAGCTTCCTTGTAGTCGTAGGTGGTTGTATTTCTATATTTTGTATTAGGATGTTTGTCCTCATTTGGGATGACCCAAGGGTGCGTCTTGTTACCATCACCGTAGTCAACAACAATGCTTACATTGGTCCCTTTAGCTAACGACCAACTGATGTTTACCCTGTCAGACGAAATCTGTATGATAATTTCTGTGTTATAATCATCGAACGAGAAATCTTTTATCTCGTCTTGAACGGTTATGTTCGGGTAGTTTTGGGCGAGGGAACTGATATCATTCACGGCGCTCAAAGCGACTGAGTACTTTCCGGCATTACTAAACTCATATGTTATTGTTATGTTTGAGTCATTTGGAAAGCGTGAAATTTGATCATTCTCAGCGCCCAAGACGACTGAGTACTTTCTATCCACGGATGATGTTCTACTTCGAGTGGTTTTAGTTGGGTCAGTCTCTCTAGTAATATTCAAAGTATATATTGCTGTTCTGTTTCCCTGGTGGGGCAACATGATGAAGTCAAAACTATGATTTGTTTTCACCAAGCGAGTAAAATTCATTTCGATACTGGTAAGATTTTGCTCCACACTCAAGTTACCACTGAGAGTCAAATTGTTCACCTTATTTGCAGCAACGATCGTGATGAAGTACAAGTCAGGGATGCTGAAATTTGTTTTATAAATGGAGAACAAAATTGTATTAACAGTCTTGGCGTTGCGAAAATACCTATCCTTCTTGGATGTGATGCTGAAGTTAAAGTTAACGTGAGATCCTTTACGAAGAAGCCAGAAAATGCTGACTGTTTTTCCGTATTCAACGGGCAAAAGGGAATTGTTCCTAAATTTGAAACCATCGATTCTTTCCTGAACATCGACCGAGCACCTAACAGCTGCTGAGCTTACATCGTTTGTCGCATAGACGAAGATATCCACTTCTCCAATTTTCTTAAAAACCCGCGTTACAAACGGAGAAACCGTTGTGTTATGTACACCGTCGCTGAATTGCCAGTAGTACGTTATATCAGTACCACTAGTTACATTAGTAGTGACGTTAACGGATTCTTCTAACGCAAAAACATCAGGCAAGCTTAACTCGAGTCCTTTTATCGGTTCTTGGACAACAATCTGTGCTGTATAGTTGACCTTTCTGTGGGAATTCTCAACGGTAAGAGAAACTGACTTATTTCCGTATGTCTGATAAACATGATCAAAGCTTCTCCCAGACAATGCGGTGTATAAAATGGCTATCATAGGCGCATGATGAAGCTCTGTTGGACTTGAAGCTGTTGCAGGACGGCGATTACTACGAAGAACTTCGGTGCCATTTGATAGCGACTCGTTATAAAAAAGAGAAATACTAGACAAACTTGTTTCAATCGCCGCAGCTGGCTTTGAAGAAGGAAATTGCACGGCAATGACATCGCCTTCGTCAACCTCAAGTCGCAGAGTGCAACTCTCGACTAAAACAACCTTATGGCCGCTGGTTGTTTGAATCATACAACTGGAGATATTTTCGTAGTCAAAGTTTGCTTGGGCCGTCGTGTTGTTCTCGCTGAATGAACCATCTTCCTTGACACACTGTGCTCCTGCAAAGCTGAATTTTTTATTACCAACCGTGTTATCCGTTTCTCCTGCTGGGCACACGTTGCTGTACAAAACTGAGGAGACACACATCCTTTTTGCTCGACAGTAGCGCTGCTTAGAATCTAAACACTTCGGACGATAAACCTAAGGCACACAAGTAAAAAAACGGAGATACTGTCATTACCGCGCGAATCCATGGAAAACGCTCACAGTAACAACACTTTTGAGTATTCAAGCAGTTCTAGGACTGTAAAAATTAGCTTTACGTGTTGGCAACAATTAAATGCAATTCTACAATCCAAATCTGGTGCGTTTTGGAAATCAAAGTCACAAAGATTTATAATTCTGTACTTCGTGTAATTGACATTTAGTGTCAAATCCATGCAAAATAAATCATGAGCATATCGATAGCTAGAGATACACAGCTCTACGACCCAGACGAGAACTCAAAAAGAAAAACAAAATCACTGAACTGGTTTTAGTCAAGAATTGGTACAGCTGAAGGGGGGAGGGGGTGGGGAGGTTAGTACCCAGGCCAGTTTTGTTACATCATCAATACCTATTACCTAGTAACAACCTTGTAATACTTTCGAAAAGAGGAAATAAATTTAAAAATACATATATAATAATATATGTAAAAGATAGTTGATTTTAATGTCTCATGAATCAACAATATTTTGAGTCATTCAGGCCAACAGCTTTGCTTTACTTTAAATTGGGGAGTTATCAAAATTTTTTGCTTCAAAGAAACGTTTTTTTATTATTGGTCACTGTGGGAATTGATGTCTTAATCCAATGGAAAACAAAAAATAAAACTAGATTTTTGCAAGAATTCTTTTTCTTCAAACACAGAATTAGAATATTCAGGCAAAAAAAATTTCAACCTATAAGTACCTTGATTTCTAGAAAGCCTCCCCGACTGACTTCCATTTTAAAAGCCACGGCTTTCCCTTTATTTGTGACGTCCGTTGTAGGTAACAAGTACAGTCCGTCAGAAGTATCCTGGCCACCTGGGTCAGAAACTATTACGCCCGCTGTCATGATCATTGCATCTATGGATTTAAAAAAGTATTGCGTTAGAAAACAAATCACTGTCCACTTCCTGTCCGCTTACCGGCACGCATGACCGACTGCCCAAAAGACGTTCTCTCTGTCTATCTGACAGACTATCTGATTTTTCCTCCTGCCTAACTGAGTGACTGCCTGCCTGCCTGTCTGCACAACTGACTGACTGACTGCCTGCCTCAATGACTGACTAACTGACTGACTGTCTGCATAACTGACTGACAGACTGCCTGCCTGTCTGCCCAACTGACTGACTGCCTGCCTCAATGACTGACTGACTGTCTGCATAACTGACTGACAGACTGCCTGCCTGAATGACTGACTCACTGACTCACTGACGGACTGACTGTCTAACTGCCTATCTGTCTGACTAACCGACTATCTGACTTTCTTCCGTCAGTTTGCCCGGTTAAGTGAGTGACTGACTGCCTGTCCGCCTAACTGAGTGACAGACTGACAGACTGGTTGACTGATTGAGCGACTGACTCAAAGACATATGTAATACAGTCTCTTAACAGTTATTGAAATTAACAAAATTATCAGTGTCGCAAAACTTACCGGGAATAAAACCAGAATTATATTCTACTTCTTCAAACTCTATAGTGGCATTCACGTTTCTTCCTTGGTGAAATTGCAGAGAGCAACTGAACGTAAATTTCACAGGACATACCGCAGGACAGATGAACTCGATATCCGTAATATTAGACACTGCTAGCTCAGTCATAGAAGATTCCACCGCTAAGTGATGACCAGTTTTTGTATGTTTTACATTTGCTTTTACTCTAACCGTGTAGTTTCCCGGGTGAATGAATAATAGGGTAGCCTCAGATTTAGTCTCATTATGATTCAGAAACTCCACACCATCTCCCACGATTATTTCGAAAGACTCGACAATTTGGTCCTCTGAGAGAGAGGGTTTCATTTTCAAGTTGAACGCTTTGAGAACCACAGCGGAAGAATCTGATGACAGTTCTAAGTTTAGAGGTTGGACTTGGACAGACTTGTAAACGGACAGGTATGATCCTCCACCGCACTTAAGATTTCCAGCGCCAAGGCAGGCAGACAGGCACAGATCTCGAGGACGTTCTGTAACGTTTGCCGTAGAATTGGAACACAGACATATGTTGCCACCCCTCAAGGCCGCATACGTGAAGTTGAGAGTGCCGCAAGAGTGCATGCAGAGACCAGTGGTGATTCTGCTACCTCGGTAATCACCCGGGTTGAAAACAAACCTTGGCGAAAAGGTGCTGTCTTCATAGCAACCCAAGTAATTCCAAGGAACTGCAATAAGGAATCAAGATAAACAGTTACCGAATCAGTGCTAAAAAAACACCTTATGACATTCTTACCGTATCCATTCTAACACAAAAGGTATCTTCGGTTGCATGAAACAATCGCATTATAACTAGATCAAGTATTTTGTAAATACTTTTATAGATGTTTTTCATGTCTTCGTAATCAGAATATATTACAACTTGGGGCTTCTCTTGATAAAAGATAGTCTACTTTTAGGCTTCTGACAGAACTACCCTGAATTTTACTATTGAATTTATTTTATATTTAAGTGTCTATCTACACTAAAAACCGCAGACAAGAACATGTGGATTAAGAACACCCAAGCTGAAATTTGGTAAAAAAGGAGCATATATATAAGAACACATTCTGCCTGAAAATTGAAAATTGTTCTTATATATAAAAGCTCTTCCCTTTTCAGTTTAATAGAACAAACAGTGTCTGTAGCTTTACTGTGGTATTGCACTAAGATGTCTGTATAAATGCTAGTAATTTCACTTGCTGTATATAGCAAATATACAACAACTGTATTTGGAATTAAAAGTCTTATAATTACGTGAAAAATATGCTCGATTGTGCAATTTATTTTCTAATGTTGTGTGTTTCAAGTTTAATTTTCTCTCAAAGTTATGTATTTCATCATATTTAGTAAATCCCTTACATTTTTTTAGAAGTAAAAAATTAAAAACACTTGAGAACACTTTCAGGCTGATTTCACCTAAAATACCCGATATATAAGAACCCAATCAACCTGAACCCTGAAAATGGGTGTTCTTGTTTGCGGATTTTTATTGTATCTAGCTATCTACTCTATCGTCTCTTGAAGAAGAAGAGGCTGAATAAGATACATGTAAACCTCTGTAACAGGTTTCCAGGTAGGTTACGATAATTTTTTTGCGCCAACAACCTATCGCCTCCTTACCACGCACACTTTCAATCGTGATAAGCGCGGGAAAATTTCAAAGTGTCAGGCTTTCTCTTGGTGGCTGAGGCTTCCCAGCAAGGCAGACCGTTATTTACCCTTTACCTTAGTGACTCATTATTTTTTCTTGTTTCTAAATCGAAAAATAACTTTCTCATTTCTGAATGAAAGTCAATTGGCAGTGCCCAATGAGAAACGATTGACGTGGATTTAGCAAGAACTCGCAGTTGTAATCATTGCGATTTTATTACGAATAATTGAGGATTACTACATACCACACAAGTGAAAAGTGCTTTTCGCACGCGTTGATTGGCTACTATTCCCTTAACGTTTGGTGAATATTTATTAGGTACTGCGTATATACAAGGTGGTATAAACGAGTTGGATATCCCCATACTGTTTTCAAAATTGAGGTTTAACTTCTTTAACTTGTCGGAAATCACAATCCAAGATCTCTTCAACTGGAAATTACCTCATGCAACAAATACGATTTCCCTAGCGGCGACGGTGAAGTACTTCTTTTTGCCCATACTGATCATTCAGCGCAGGCGTCTGATCACCAGCTTGTGCGCTCTTAAAACCCTGCTTTCTCAAGATTCAAAAATTATTTTCACACTGAGAATTTTTTTAGCCTTATACTTCTTTAACTTACTTTGTTCGCAAATGGATATGTGTGTCGAGGAACAAGAAGTAACTGTCCATTTTCCATCGTCTTTCATCCTCACACAATAGTGATTCGCGTCTTCCGAGCCATCCAACTCGTTAAAGAAGAGTCCTGAGCCGTCTGTCCAACTGAAACTGCCATCGGCTGTTTTCTTCTCTAGTCCGATCCACGGCTGTGCATTGTTTGCGATAGCTTTAACGTAATTGTTTTCCTCTTCTGAAGAAATCTTTACCAATTCCCCTCCTCCGTTTCGGCACGATTCGAGAGCTGTACTGAAATCGAGCTGTTCAACCATGACCTTGTAGCAAGAACCATCGAAATACTGCCATCCTGGATTGCAACTTTCGAGATCTTCGATTAAAGAAAAAAAAAAAAAAAAAGGAAAAGAAATCAAACAGAAGTTTACGTTTGGCGCGCTTAGAAACGCGCTTCCCTGAGTGTTAAACTGTTATTCCCTCACAACACATCTTTGTCTCGCCTTTTTAAACCACCTTGTTTGCAAATGGGTTTTCTCGGCGGTTCTGAGTTAGGTAAACCGCAAATAGCATTTCCCAGCCATTTCCCATAAATATCCATAAAGATCCCCACCCGCGGTTATCCCGAATCTCGGGTTCTTTCCAGTTATCTGTGGAAATCATATTCCGCATTAGTGTCTGTGTAACCAACAAGGTGTCAAAGACACGTAACCGTTCTAAGTTCTCCAAGATTCGAGATAACTGGACTAAATTGAAGTCTCATCCGGAAAAGAAATATATGCTCTATCTCGTCATTTTAAGATCATTTTACAAGTTTTGTTGGACCCCAACTCTTTCAGGCGAGGTTGCTTGATGTAATATTAGGGTCCAGACCCCATGTATTTAGGGACTGTCATAACATGTGCAGTTGACAATGAGAGATGACGAGCATATGGTCCAAGTTTTGGTTCGGTCAAGCTCCAAATATTACATTTGACAAAAATGGAAAAGAAAAATTTGCATTTTGTAGAATAAAGGTAGGTTATGCGTTACAACGCTCACCGTTACAGACGAACAGTGCTGACATCCTTTCTTGAGCAATTGCCTCTTCCCATATTGCTACATCTCTTAGCACAATTTCTGCATGGACTCCACCGTCCATGTTCGTAGAGCGACCTATTATTAATGAAGAGTGCGAGGCTTGCGTTAACGTGACAGTCTTTCCACCTGTGTCACGCAAGACACTGGTCGAATCTCCGCCAATGACCGCGGTTAAACCGTCTGCGTGACTCCAGCTCATTGCAAATGTGTGCCATGCATTACTTTCATAAGATCCCTGAACCTGCCAGATATTCTGCCCATCTCGCACATTAAAATGCATGACACCATCGTCATGGTAAATAGAAAAACCATTTGAGTTTTTCCCGCCTGAAGACAAAATGTAACCGATTCCGTTTGTAGAAAGATATGCTTTAAAGCTTAGAGAAATCCCGTTATTACAATGCGAAGGGCTGAAAATACAGCTTTGTTCGCTCTTTTCTACGGAACGAAGATCAACCCAAGAATGCGAGCCAGAGAGGGAAAGCGCCAGCGGTGTGAAGTTTAGGTTAGCGGGTATGTGATGTATGGTCCACGGACCATGTATCTTTCCCACCAGAGATCCGTCTCCTTTCACATCTTGTTGATAAACTACGGACTTGTCCAGTGGCCAATAGTGAGCAGTATCTTTGTAGCAATGATCTGAAAAATACGTTAAGTAAACATCGTGGAATGTTGCTTGCTTAGCACACCAGGAGCACAGACAAATGAGCGCCCACCGTAATCAACACTCGCAAGGAGTCGTGAAAGAATCCCTTCTCTTGAACTCGCTTAAGGTATCTCAGCGTTCCCCTATGATATTAGTTGCCATGTATTCGAAGTGATGCTTTTGTAGTGGCAAAGTCTTCGCTTTCTTTGCAGTCTTTCAGTGTGACAAGTGTTACCGGTCAGAGTACAGTGTGACAAGTGTTACCGGTCAGAGTACAGTGTGACAAGTGTTACCGGTCAGAGTACAGGGAAACGAAGAAGAAATACAATATGAATTATTTGTAACCTTTTTTTCCTTTGGTCGTAAGCACTGATTTTCAATGTTGGATCCAGTTAGAATTATTGTTAATTATTATAAAAGTAGTCGTACAGGGGCGCTGTAAGCTCTCAATGATAAACATTAATGATTTACGTAACCGTCTCTGAATGTTACAAAAATAAATTTACTTACCTAAACGTGCACAGACATGGATCACCGCGGATGAACTCGTTGTGGAAAAAGAAGCATACTTGGTCTTGATTGGTTTCGCATCTCTCCAGAACAGGTAAATCTATAATGACCAGTTTTTGTTTTCAGTTAATGATACGAGATTTCTAAAGAAATATGGTGCCCCAAACATTTGTCGCCAATGCTTCATATTGCAAAGCCAGCGTCCCTCAGGGTACATTTAATTTTGCAAAGCTTGATACTGTGACGTAGAGTGTTCGTTTGTCTTTTGTTTTGGGTAGGGGATATTTTTATGAAAATGAGGAGAGAAATTTTAGGTTTCAAAGAACAATAAATCTTTTGTAGATAAGCTGTTGAAATGTTGTAAGAAACTGCGGAAAAAAACGGCAACGAGCTTCAGCGAAGTATTATTAAACACACCTAGTCACTTAACTAGCGCAAGCAGTTTATAACAGAACTTATCATACTTTTTCTCCAGAACCAAACACCAATTGATCCGTAAGCATCTCCACCCAGAACAGCCGTGTTTCGTTTTCTTTCAACAGAGTAACGTTGGATCTCATCACTTGTTTAATCTCGTCGTCATTAATTTTCAAGATTATATCCCCATTGGCGACAATTTCAATGTTATACAGCGGGCTGTTGACACGCGACGTAGTTGTGAGTAAAACCGAGACATTATCTCTTGAGTTGATCATCAGCGGAAACCGGGTGGAGTGTAGGCGGTAGGGAACCGATTTACTGTCGCTTTGGAGCTGAAGGACGTCACAAATTGTGTCTAAAGTAGTACAAAGAAAATTACAGGATTTCTTGAAGGCCTGCCCTGGTTGTAAGCAAAGGAAGTTCCTTTAAACTAGGTTTGGTTTATCAATAAAAGACAAGAGAATGACCATCTGCTTTAACTGACGAGTAGTCAGTGAATAAGCCAGTAAGTTATTCAGTCATGAAATAATTTTGGGTTTTGCAGTAATTCATCCAATCAGTAGCTTTGCAGTTCGCTCGTTTCTCTTTTATTTTTATTTTTTATTTATTTATTTTTTGTTTTTGTTTACCTCTTCACCCCTGTATTCCTCCCGGAAAGTCTGATTACTTTTAACAATTTACCTTGTTTGCTCCTTATTCAGTAACGGCAAACTTTCTTTATCAACTTACTTTGTTTGCACATTCCATTGTAGAATTCAATTTCCTGTATTCCGACTCCCCCACTGCCATTATACACCTCCATTATTGTGAACTTAACCCAATCTGCTTTGCGAAAAAAGAAGGTAAACTCCTCAAAATCCAATGAGTTTTCCGCAAGAGTAATCTGCAATATACAATTACAAAAAAAGGTAAACAAAGGAGAATATCTTATTTATTTGTATAAATATGCAGGTTACAAAATAACATAGGTTGGTCCCCATTTAAAACAGATTTTCGTCTTTTTGAGCAAAGTTTGGTTCAAGCCCGCTACAGCCACATCGTGGGCACGTTATGGAAACTTATCAATGCGAATGAATGTGAAAACTGTGGATAAAGATCGGAAAATCAAACTTTAAAATCCATTTTAGGCATTTGTCCTAAATATGAATTTGAATCCCCTGTAATGCGATCAGATTTGTTAACATCCCGTATAACGCCCCAGCTTATCAAAGAAATAGTTCCTTACATCCTCTAGCGAATGGTCGCTAAACTCCAGCAGAATTTTGTGGATCCTTCGTCCAGGAGTCGTTTTTTGCATAATTCGCAACTTGTTGATGGTGAAAGTGGAATGAAAGCCGATCTCTAAAAAAGAGTTGACGCTCTCATTCGTGGACGACTCCCAGCCAAAAGCCGTGCTCTCATCAAGGACTTTTTCGCAGCCATTCGAAGCTCCGTTACTCGAAGACTGATTCAAACAGCTGCCTCCATACTTCTGTGACGCCACATTGAACGGAGTACAAGCTGTAGAATCTGAGGGGAGTGAATAAGAAGCTTAAGCGACAGAAAAGTGAGGGAGATAACAAATTAAAACTATCCATGTTGCTCAGGTCGAAAGAGGTAGAATAAGGGACCAGTCCTTTTGACGATTTTCTGTGGGGGGGACGAAGGCTCACGTGGTTTTCAAGAGGAATGGAAGGAGGATCAGTCGTCTATGAAGAGAGTATAAAGAAAAGGCAACAGAAATTTACTGCCAATTAACTGCCATTGAAGTTGGATCATAAGTATATTACAGAGCCCTAAGGAGAATCCCTCCTCCCGCAATAAATCACGACCGGTCCCTAAAGAGGAAAAAAATTAAACTACCGAGTACAAAATAGATTCGCATTAAAACAGGAAAAAAAAAAACAATAAAAGCTCCTGCCCCTCCCTGAATTAACAAAGTATTTTTTTACCCTCCGGTAGGTACAGAAAGCTGATTGGAATGCTGGATGACACTTCAGCTGGTTCTTCACCGTTCTGTTTAAAATCTTCCTTTATCCACGTCACGCCTCTCCATCCTTTATATCCAATAACAGCGTGAGACGTTTGCCCAACAACGCGTCTGGCTTTTTGTGCACCAATGCCGATCAGGTCGCTCGTTGGAAGAGTATAAGAGCCCACTGCAGAGTCCTGTACTGCCAGTAAAACTATAACATCTTGAGGTAGGTCCTTCAGGAACGTACCCAGCTTGTCGCACTCTTTCTGGCTTTCCGCGCAGTCGAAAGCAGCTGAAGTGAGGACACGACCTGCACGATAAAACAGAGAAACTAAGCCTATCCATAATTCTTTTGGTATCCACCATCAAAATTCCGTGCACATTAAAAGACATCACACTATGGCAAAGGTAAACAGAAAATAATTCAAATACTGGAAAATTATAGGCGAACAATCGCCGTTTCGGCCATATCACACGGCCTTCATCAGGAAACTGCCGAGTCAGCCTTGGTCACGCGAGTTTCACGTGATAGCTTACTTGACACGTGCCGTAACGCACGGTCCCACGTGTGCGATAGCAGAAACCGCAACCCGCCTTTTTAATTAAGAGAAGGCTCCTCTACCCTCTCCCAAACAGCTTCTTTGATGCCACTTCTGACCCAGTCTTCCTCCTTGTCCAAGATCTTAAGATCGCTTAGACCAAAGGAGTGTCCCGAGCTTAATTCGTAAATGGTTAGAGACAGCTGAATTCTGTGCCTCGATGGTACTGGGCCTTTTGTGCTGTCCCATTGTCGAGCCCAGTGCCTGTTTGGTCTCTCCAACATAGGTTTCACAGCAGTTCTCATCACCACACTTTATCCCGTAAACCTTAAAGGATAAGCCCCGCAAAGATAAAATCTCACATGTGGTTTACGGTATAAAGTGTGGTGATGAGAACTGCAGTGAAACCTATGTCGGAGAGACCAAACAGGCACTGGGCTCGAGAATGGGACAGCACAAATGGGCCAGTACCATCGAGACACAGAATTCAACTATCTCTAACCATTTACGAAGCTCGGAACACTCCTTTGGTCTAAGCGATCTTAAGATCTTGGACAAGGAGGAAGACTGGGTCAGACGTGGCATCAAAGAAGCTCTTTGGGAGAGGGTGGAGGACCCTTATCTTAATAAGAAAGGAGGGTTGCAGTTTGTACTATCGCACACGTGGAACCGTGCGTTACTGGACGTGCCGAGTCAGCTATCACCTGACGCTCGTGTGACCTAGGCTGACTCGACAGTTCCTGATGAAGGCCGCGTGATATGGTCGAAACGTCGATCGTTCGTCTATAACTTTCCAGCATTTGAATCATTTCCTGTTTAACATATTCTCAACTAGATGACTGATACAATTCATAGCCATTATGGCAAATGGTTCGGGTGCAAAGTGATAGGAGCCCGTTCTTCAAAATTGATTTGACAAAATAAGTGTTTCAATTATCAGTTTTGTGAGACGCAGTAAAGGTTTAGTGACTGAGTTTTGACCTTAAAATCACGATTTTATCACAGGCAACCTTCCCTTTTCTTAAGGTAACTGAATCTCAAGAGCCGTGTGTCGCCAACCGTTAAACGTGAAAGCCCGCCAAAATAGGTCAAGCGACACGTTGCTGCTTCAAACGAAGCCAGTTGTTCGTGACAACAAACGATCTTAACATCAAAAACGTGGTTGCAAAACCTTTGTGGCGCCTTGCTCAACTAAAAAATCGTAGTATCTTAGTCAGCGTTCCACTCTAACGAGCTTCGGGTTTGGTCTAAATATGAGGCAGAGAGGAAACTGGTTGCCATTTTCCTTTTCTCCAGGCTCCCTCAGTTGTGGTTCCGCCATTGCTGTAAATATCTCTGGAGATTCAACAGACAGCTCTCAATGGGAGAGTATTGCTCGTTTATTATCCAACTACACTCCGTAGAGTACAAATAACGCCATAGACGAGTACAAATATCACGCGGTATTTGGACTCCAGAGAACCGGTTCGACAGGTTTTCTCGCATCGCACAAGCTAAGAATTGGATCGAAATTACAAAAAAAATGGCAGACAATTTGAATCATATTTCTGACGACGAAGAGTCGGAATGGCTGACAACTATAGATCCAAATTTATTAGATGAATTAAACGAACAAAAACAGCTACAAGAGCAGGAAATTTCTTCATTTATTGGAGAAAATAGAAACAGCAACACGACAACGCGCCAATTCCGTTCTGCTTCGCATACCTCTGTTAAGCCCTCCCCGTAGATAAATATCCGCGAAGTTCGCCTACACTGAAAAAAAAATTTGGAGTGTTGGATAATAATTAAATTATTAGACGTTTGGTTGTGTAGTATCGCTGAGTAGTTTTACTCGTTTGTATTTTGAGTCGCCCTGCGAGCTCGTCAAAATACGGCACACCTCGTAAATATACTCAGCGATATTACACAACAAAACGTCTAATAAGATATATATATATACAGTCCACGACTAATAAATACTTTGCACCAACCTGTGAGGGCGTCAAAAACTGCAACGTTGTACCCTTTGCTCTGTGGCGCATAGTTCTCGTTATTAACCCAAATGAAAGCCACACCATTCGGCAAATTCCTATCAGGTGTCTGACTTGATTCAGATTTAACGGTGATATTGAGGCGTTTAACGACTCCTGAAGGCAGATAATTGATAGTTGGAATAGTTTAGCATATACTAAAACAGCGTATAGCGTTGTAGGCGCGCTCTGATTGGCTACTCAAACTCCGAAAATAATATGGTATTCACCTCCAAGAAACTCACGTGTGATTTGCGCCTGAAAATATTGTAATAGTTCCAGGAATAAGTGGGTTAAAACTATTATCTTTTTGTACTATATTATGTCACTTTTTTAATACTATGTACTAAAATTACTAATCACTTCCATTCGGCGAATAGTTGTCAACTATAGTGAGCGCCGTCAATAATGTTTGTAAATTATTGAAACAGAGACTTGATCGATTCAACGGAGAAGTCAGTTAACATTTTTTTGGCACCCCAACCCTTTTTACTCAGCAAAGCAGATCATCCACTTTCACTACTATCGACGTTATAAGCGAAATCGCAACTGTCACGCACTCGACACTAATTAATAAACGAGTTCCGTTTCGGTATCAGAGTAGTAACTTAGAGCAGAATCGTTGAGTTGACGAAATCTAGTGCTTTTCCAAAGGAGCTATTACAAGGATCCGTAACTTTTAACTTTCCCACAACTGTCATTTAATTTCAATACTAACCCATGAGTGGACAAATCTGAAACGAAGCTGGGGAAGTCGTTGTGTTAAATACAGCGTACTTGATTTTGATCGGTTTTGCTTCTCTCCAGAATAAGTAAATCTATATGAAGCAAAAGAGAAGAGGGCTGTTAATAAACAAAGAATATTTGCCGTTTTTATTTTATATATGTTTTTTTCTGTTCTGTTTGTTTCTACCGACAGGGAATTATCGACGACCCATTCTCTAGGTCAGTGAAGACGAGAGAATAGTGAGCGAGAGAAAATCGGCTGAAGGTCTGGGAATGAGTGTTTTTCTCCCAGTCTCTTTTTTCTCTTGCTCATCCGCTCTTTCGCTCGTCTCCACATACTGACTGTTCAGAAAAGGCTCTGGTAGACTCAGTATTTTACTTTACCTGTTCTCCGGAACCAAAAACCAGTCGGTCCGTTTGTATATCCAGCCAGAATAGCCGTGTTTCGTTAGCTTTCAACAAAGTAACGTTCGATTTGAACCGTTGTTCACATTCGTTGGTCTTGTTACTCAAAGCGATACTCCCGTTTGAACCGATCTCAATCTTGTAATGATAGTCATCGCCTCGCGAGTCACTTGTGAGAAGCACCAAAACATCGTCTTCAGCTTCAATCATAAGTGGGAACTGATTACTTTGTAAGCGGTAGTGACTCGATCGACTATGGTCCGAAAGTTGTATAGTGTCACAGAATGTTTCTGAAAGAGAATTTGAACAAAAGGCACAACCTGGTCAGAATTTTTCGAGCTCATTTGGGACAAAACCCTTCGTGCACATGGCAGACATTTAAGAATATTACGTTGTAAAGATTTTTAAGTTAAAACTCGATTTCGCTTTCATTAGGATCTGATCGTTTTCGTTTTTGTCAGGACCAGCTCGTCAAAATTCTTATTATTGTTAAAGGCCAATTTAAAATAAATATCATTCTTGTGAACAGAAGTGAAAAGAACATCGATTTACAACGTCATTTCGTCCAATAATGGATCAACCATTCGGAAGTTTAAGGAGTTACGTCACGATTTCCGTATCGATAAGATCTTATCCCTACAGTTTCCAAGTCGTCCATCTCACATTCGCGTCAATCTTATTCATCTTTAGCCATCTTCGTTAATTTTCTTCCGGTTTATTCCATTTCTGTTGTTTTGCATTCAACCAAACAGATACTTTTCGGTTGATGTTTTTTTGAAGAAAATTTTTCTGAAGAAAATTTTGCACGTCGCAGCCAAAGGCTCAAAATATCGCAAGGTAGCTCGTACACGTCCACCTGTCATTCGCCCCCAGTCACCTTTGCGAGATCGCCCCCTGACGTAAACTTAGTTCCTCCTACCACCTTTATCAGTTCGCTGTTCCCCCTTCCCCCCTCTTCAAATCAAGAAAGGTGGGGGCAAAGTTGTTTTACGTCAGGGGTAGTATAAGCAAAAGCGGCGGAGGGGGGGCGGTGAATTCCCCATAAACCCTTTGAAACAATTTGAGTTGTTTCCCCTCAATCTCATGTGTTACCACATGATCCTGCATGTCTTACTTTGCTTTCTATATTGAAATTTATAAGTTATTTCGGTACTTACTGTGATCACACTTTTCATCGTAGATTTCAATTTCTTGTATCCCGACCCCACCGCTACCGCAATTTACCTCTGTAATTGTAAACTTGACCCAAGATGCCCGGCGAGACGTGAAGAAAAACTCTTCAAAATCAGACCGATTCTCCTTCAGCGTAATCTGCAAAACACAATTCAAAAACAAATCTAAGTGCTTTGTATCTACATTGGCTTCATCTGAGGGAAGATGCATTAAAAACTTTCCTCACGATCGTGGGAAACTGAATTATTTTGAATTCTCAAATAAAAGCAAAAAAAACACAACTGGTCGATTAATTGATATACCTTTTCCAGAGTACTGTCACTAAACTCCAACAACATTTCCTGAATTTGTTGATTTGTACTTGCGTTTTGACTTATTCGTAGCTTGTTAATGACGAAGGTTGAGTGAAAACAGATTGTGAAAGAAGAGTTGACGCTCTCATTCTTCGACAACAAGTTCCAGCCAACGTTTGTGTCTCCATCAAGAACATGTTGACAACTAGGTAAGGCTCCCCAGCTCGAAGACTGATTCAAACATCTGCCTCCATACTTCTGGGACGCCACATTGAACGTAGTACAAGTTGTAGAATCTATAGAAAAGGGAGAATGAAACATAAAATTTGGATTCTCTTGAAAGAAATATGAATTGATGAAACTAAATAGTCTGACAGTTGCTCGAATATCTTCTCCAAATTTTAGGTAAATAAAGTCTGTTCTTGAGTCAAGTTGATCCGTTTTTCATGATGCCTAGCGACTCTTAGGTAAGACAAGAGCTGTTTAAGAGTATCCTTAGTGTAGTACGTTGCCGGAGACTCTTTATTCAGGTTTTCCGCCCAACACACCGCATGAGTGTGTATGCTTTACTGAATTTGCAAACAACGTGTTGTGCTATTTAAATATGCTAGTCCTTTTCTTAAAAATCGATGTTAATTGAAATAAAAGTAAACGAAAGCGAGCATTCATTCAGGCGAACATCTCAGACACACGTGTCCTCTACACCGAATGCAAATATGGCGTCTAATTTGAATTGCCATTGTTCTGGACTGACTAGCCTCGTCTTCACGTGGAAATACAAAAGGATTATTACATGTGTGAGAGGTAGTCAGTCCAGAACAATGGCAACTCAGATTGGACGCCATATTTGCATTCGGTGTATATACTTGTTATCACTGAATAGGATTAGAGTATATAGTTATTGCTGTCTGGTGTTCATGTATCACACTGATTATAACTACTGAAGCAAATCAGAGATTATGTCTTTCCGGTACCCGGGTTTCACGTCCAACGCGAGATTTTCTCGTAACCCTCTCGGTCTCTGTTAGGGTGACGCATTGCGGATTGGTGCTTAATTGAGGGTCGTGTAATCAAACTGCTACTCGATGGGTTGTTTGATGAATTGTCTGCTGCGGTGAACTCTCGTGGATTGGCGCTTGAAGATTGTGCAGTCATACTTTCTTGAGGAGTGCAACTCGACAAGGTTGTTTGCAAGGTTGTTACAAGCCTTATTTAGTTTAATATGGATTCTATTTTTTCTAGTTGGGCTCCATTTCCTGTTTCTATAAGATATGAGCGGGATGTTTCGCCCTGATCTATGATTCTTGCCGGGTTCCATGTCCTTCTCACGGGGTCTTGTGTATAGATGGCTTGGTCCTTGTGTAGTTCAGGGAGCTCCTTAGTGCGCCAGTTGTTAGAGAAGCATTGGTTGTCTTTTCTCGCTTTGAGCCAATTTCTAATTTCTTCTTGATTCTTTGATGGCTGGATCTTACCAGGAAGTGTGGACTTGAACACTCGGCTATTCAGTAATTCAGCCGGTGATGGTACGTTAGAACTCAGGGGAGGGGTGTTGTTCGTAGAGCCAACAGGGCTGGACCTATGTCTTCTTTAGTTTCTCTACATTTTAGGATCGTCTTCTTGACTGTTTGGACTTGTCGTTCGACGAGCCCATGGCCACGCGGGTAATGGGGTGATGACGTCACAATTTCAAAGCCATATTTCCCTGCCAGTTGTTGGAACTCGCTTGATGTGAACAGAGTACCGCTGTCACATTGAAGAGATTTTGGGATTCCATTTTCTGCGAATAGCATTTTCATCTCACTGATAACGGCTCCGACTGTGAGGTTGTGAAGCTTCTTGGCAAATGGGAATTTGGAATAGTAGTCGATAACTATGAGGAACCATGACTGTTGTACGTAGAACAGGTCTGCACTCACTGTCTGCCACGGTCTTGAGGGGATCTCTGATGGTATCATAGCCTCCTTTTGTTGAGAATTGTGGTATTTCTGGTAGTTTCTACTCTAGAGCCTCAAGAACATTTAATACACTTCCAGAATACTTGAGGGTCAATATCCAATCTATTAATGTTTTTAAAACTAATTTGAAGAAATATTACTTAGATCTAACTTCAACTGTGTATGATCCTGCATTTCCACAAACTTTCAAAAGTGTCTGCATAAAATGTCATATGAGCAGACCACTAACAGCATTACTAGCCAAACTCTGTTGCTAATTAACTATTTCTAATCACATAATTCCTACCACTCGATTGTAATTTGTAATTGTAATTTGTATTTTTTTTTTTTTGATTGTGTAGGAGTCTCGTTAATGGAACGTTAGCTCTGTGAGATCTCTCCTGCCAAATTTTTTTTGGTGAAGCTTATAAATAAACAAATAAATCAATGCAACATGAGTTTACAAGATTTACTATTTCTTTGTATACGTTTGGCCAGTAAACACAGAATTTGGCTCGTGGCTTGCATTTTTCCATACCAAAGTGCCCTCCGTGGATTTGCTGCAAGATGTTGCCTCTCAAGGATTCGGGTACTACAACACGGCTTCCAAGAAGTATCAGCCCATCTTCTACTGATATATCATCTCGTAGAGGCCAGTACGGTTTTAGTGCCGGAACAATTTTGTTCCCACTATCGAACCAAACTTGTAGAACCTTTCGGGACAGAAGCTGCAAGGTTTCATCTTTTGCAGTTTCCTCTTTGAACACTTCCGTTTTAGCTGGGGTGATTCTGATTAAGTGGTGAACTTTTACATTCATGTCTGATACTTCAAATTTGTCCAACAGCGAAAGGCGTGACAGGGCGTCCGCTGTAACCATTTCTCGTCCTGGGATGTATTTGATGACGCAGTCGTAAGGTTGTAGACGCAACAGCATTCTTTGAAGACGTGAAGGTGCTTGTGTCAGGTTCTTTTTGTAGATCTGTTCTAAAGGGCGATGGTCTGTTTTAACCACAAACGATCTTCCCTAGAGATATGAGTGGAACTTTTCGCAGCCATATACCACTGCTAATAGCTCCCGTTCGATATTGGCGTATCTAGTCTCCGCTGGGCTAAGTGCTTTCGATGTAAAAGCTATTGGTTTGTTGTTTTGGAACAGAGCTGCGCCCAAGCCCTTTAAATGATGCGTCAACGTGAAGGACGACTGGTTCAATTCTGTCATAGTATGCCAAGGTCGTTGTGGTACATATCAATGACTTAATTTTCTCAAAAGCTTTCGAGTGTGATGGAGTCCATGCAAAGTCAACGTTCGCTCCGACGAAGGGCTAACGCTCGAAACGTCAGCTTTTGTAATCGTTACGGTGGCCAATTTACCACTTCAACTTTCTTGATATATCCAAATGATTTCGTTACTCCCACCGACGCAGCCCCAAACAGTTTCTTTCGAAACTATCAGCCTTTATTCTCTTTTAATAGATTTCTTAGGGGTGCAGTGTAGTCAGCTAGATTGGGAATGAATGAGCTCATATAATTTTCCATCCCCAAAAAGGTGTAAAGCTCCTTCTGGTCTTTGGGTGGTTCTAGATTTTCTATGGCTCTGACTTTATCTGGGCTAGGCTTGACACCGTCTGGTGCATAAAGCATACCAGCGAAATTGCACTCCTTTGTTTCGATGGCACACTTATCGTCATTGAGCTTGATGCCAGCCTTTCTGGTACGTTCCATGGTTTCGTGAAGGTATAGGTCATGCTGCTTGTCGTTCGTTCCGTGAACAGTGACGTCATCTGCAATGCCAATGGCTCCCTAGCCATTACGATATGTCTCGTCAATCTTAGTTGGAAGATATCTTGGTTCATTCCTAGGCCAAAGGGCATCCTGCGGAAACGACATCGACTGAATGGTGTATTAAAGGTTGTCAAGTAGGAGGATTCCTAATCTAGTTTGACATTCCAATAGCCGTTGCGAACATCAAGCTTGCTAAAAAGCTTTGCTCCTGCTAATTTAGGTGTGATTTCCTCTAAAGTGGATATGGTATGATGTTCTCTTTTGATCGCCTTATTCAGATCTTTAGGATCGAGGCACAGACGAAGTCGCCCATTTTCTTCTTCTCTTATGACCAGGGAGTTTGCCCAATCTGTAGGCTGTGTTACTTTTGCAATTATATCTTGGTTTTTCATCTCCTGTAATTCTGCTTGTAATTTGTCTTTCAACTCTATGGGCACTTTGCGGGGTGCGTGGACTACTGGTGATACCTCAGGATCTAGTGTGATGTGATAAGTATAGTCGCCAAAACTTCCCACTGTGCCATTGAAACATTCTGGATACATCTCCATCAGCTCTTGTTTAAAAGTTAAGAATGTGATTTGGAACATGTTCCTCTCTGCAGGTATTTCTGAGCCCCCTTGGTAACGACTGTGTCTTTATTCTGTTCTAAGATCATTCAAGGGTAAGTCACATCGACACATTTGTTTAAAATGCATCTAAATTTCTGCACGTAATTAACATACTCGCCATCGATAAACATTGGGAAGGGTCGCTTAAGTTCGAATCGTTAGGTTAGTTACTCACAGTGAATCTGTTTTGCAATCAGAGCGGCTGTTTCATCTCCGGTAGTTGTTGTGTGCTTCAGTACAGCGATAGCCCAAGGGAAGTATTTGAAAACGCAATGTTTTTTTGTTGAAAGCAGAAATTGCCAGACGGAATGGAATCGCATCTCTTGAACGCAATCGAAACTGAAAGTGAAATGTTAGTATGTTTTCAGAATTTCAGAAGCATTTACTTTTTCGCATATGAAATGTTTTTCGGGAATTCATGGTTTTTTATTCTTTTTGAAATTATAATCTCTGGTGGTGTTTATTTGTGAGTTTAGTTTCGAATTATTTCATTCCTACAATGTCACAAATTCAATCGGCCGAATCATGGTAATTTAATAATAACTGTGCTGTCGCGAAGAACGTAGTTTTAGGAACTATTTTTGTCAGTCACATTATGTTTTTTGTGATTAAGGGCCTCTTGCTGTTAAAAACT